GCGTTCCTCTAAGTCTTCCTACCAATATGACCAAGTTGCAAAAACAAGATTAAACAACCTCTTAAAATTTAATGTAATAATAATAATAATGTCGTAATATGGTATAATTTAATATAGCAAGCTGGGCGGTATAAGACAAGCGGGCGAAAATATGGTAAATATAGAGAGGTGGACGCGAAATAGTAGCTACAATTCATGCAGATGTGAGAAAAAAGTTGCTCAGAGCTCAACATTTAAGCATTGAGAAAAATCCCTGTAACCATGAGGCCGAAAAGCGTTTTGCACCACCATTATTTTCTCTAAAGTCACCTAACCCCAGAAACTCGTTTGGCTGGCTAAAGTAAAGGGACATATGAAAACATATTTTTAATGCCTACCACGCATTCTGCCAAATAGGGACACAAATCATAACTCAGATAGCAAAATGCTTGTAAATGTTATCTAAATCCGAAAAAAATGCTGCTTAAAGTGGAAAGGTCGCCGTGATACGTTAAACTATAAATGACTATTCTTGTGTTGTGGGTCGTCATGACTGTTTATTTTTTAGACTATTTGCTCGCACTTTTAGCGTAGTTAATAATACGCTGTGCGATTGGAGATCATCTGGTTGCAGTCAAGCGAATAAAACCTGACAATCTTCAAATTTATCTGACACAACTAACTCATGTTAGAAGAAAAAGTTCCGAATTTGAAAAAAAGCTAAACAAAAGCAGGGTCTAACTAGCAGGATTTATCAACAAATCACACTATGATAGATGAATGAGTTGATATTGATGTATTATATTCACGTGGGATATGAGAAATCCCTCCATATGTACTATTCTTATCGAAAAACGCAATTCTATGCATTGCTGCAATTCGGCTGCAATCCTACCTACTTTCTCCACTTGATTAGAGCAATTCTACGTATACCGTAGCAGCAAAATGAAGTGACCGCAGATAGCGCGTATCATCCCATACCATCCATAGCCAATTCACTTTTCCGCAATCATATAGAAAAAGCATCAAATATTGTTGGGGAGACTTAATTTTGCACGAAAGAGAATGCCGAAGAGATTCGAATGTCCATCTCACTATATGATGAGCATCATCAGAGCTGGAACTTATTTTTATAAAAGTCTCAAATTAACACCATATCAAGAAGGCTCTCTTACTTAGCCCGTTTTCCCCCAAAACGAGGGAGTATGTTTCCTGGACTGTATCAACCTAAACATTGAATTAAAGCGGTATAAGAATCTACTGTCGTCTTCTGGTGAGACCGAGTTTCGAATCTCTTCTTCACGCACTTTCATACAAAATGAAAATCTTCCCAACAAGACGCAAAATTGCCAAACAAATCATGAGATGTCTCATAGAGCATAAAAAGCATTGCAGCCAATCATCCTTTTTGTCTTCGTGCCTCCTGTATTATCCGAAAGCATGTTGTCCTGCTCTGTCGATTTTAGTCGCAATGAGATAGGCAAAAGCTCGGTATGAATCCATCATGGTCGCGGTACGGTGCGTAGAGGAAGTATTCGTATAAATCTAGTCATTACTGCAAGGCAATTCTCCTTAGGCTTTCAGTAAGACGATTTAACGAATTCCCTCAAATCGCGTCTTCAAACGAAATAAAAGGTACGCCCACGAAGGATGAAACAGTTTCTAGTGCTAATACTAAAGTGAAATCGAAAAATGAGTAAATCTGATTGAGTATCCTAGACATTTCGCTTGAGGGCTAGCTTTTAAAGGTACGTTAGCGTAAGCTTATAGAGTCAAATTAAGAAAATAATTGCTTTTCCAATACATTTTGTCGCAATTTTAGCCAAAAAAGTGGGTTTTCACTGTAGTCCAATCATCGATCAAGCGTCATTGCTGCCCTCAGCGAGATTCATACCCAGCATCGAACTATATGACAAGAACATGCTATGATGCTTATATAGTGGCGAGAGGAAGATAAAAGAGAAGCCTGATTTGCCACAAAAAGCGTGTTTACTATGTAGCCTATTAACCTCAAAGCCATATAGCCTTTGAGGGTTGAAATCTAACGTCCTGGTTAGGAATTCAGAGAAAAATAATGATCTAGACAAGGTTAAGAGCATTATGCAGTAAGGATGAACGAACATATTTTGGATAAAGCCTTCCCATCTCGCTATGAAAAGGTAAAGCAAAACTCTCTTAAAACACCAGTTTTACTGCGGAAAAACTTGAGTCTACAAAAAATAAGAAGTTGTTTGACCTTGTTTTCCCAACTTGGTCATATCGAAAGTAAGACCTAGAGGAACGCATCTTGTCGGAAGTCCATAGTATGCATGATAATTTCCAGAGTCGGATAATTGACTTGGTACATTCCCAGACGTTTCGCCAGCATCGTAGTCGGCATCGTCAGTAAGCCATGCCATTCTTAGCATCACACTGCAACTCGTCGAAGAGACAAGTGAAGTCGATCCTTTGA